GTCCAAGAGCAGGGAGCTGAAATCAATAACCCAGAAGTCCTTGTGTCCAAAAATCTGTCAAGATGCTCTTGCAACCCTAAGCACAAGTGCAGTTTGCTAGAGAATTACTGCCTCTTTGTTTATTTTTGAAGCACTGGGTCTTTTAGCATGGCTCTGGTTAGCTATTAAAACATACAGTATGGTCCAGAGAAATCATATAAAGTTTTGCCTTTGCTATTAAAATTTGTAAGATTTTCTTTGAGGGGACATGGAATATGGAGATTTTCATCTGTTTGATCACACTCTCAGGTAACACAGCATGTTGGTGCTGTTCAGGTAATTTTGCTTCTGATTCTGCCCAAAGCCATACAGTGAACAAATTTTAAATCAGCTGAATCTGGAAAGGAAAGTCTGTTTTCCTATTACATAGAAAAAATACTTCAGTAATTATATTTCATGAATCAAGGAAATGAGTTCATTAAACCTAATCTTCACTCAAAGCTTTTTGGATATACCAGAAAAGAACGAATCTGTTGCAAATGTAGATGCTTCCATGCACCACTCATTTTACAGTTTCCTCTGTCTTTTTCACCCCTCATGCCTGCCCTCCTCTGTTGCTAGGGGCAGAACAGCTGGCCTCTTGACCTTTATTGCAATTTTATTTGAGTTAGCAGGCAGACCATGCACAAGAATAGATAGGGCAGTTTCCTTTTTGCCATGGCGAGTGTGCTGCTTCGTGGTAATAAAGTGAACACCACCAGTGCTGTGGATGTTACAGAGCCAGACCAGTTTGTTCCACGAGGAACCAGGCTATCCAGGTTGCTTTAGTGTTTAGTGTTGCTTTGTAAGTGTATTGGTTTGACTTTTAAACTACATTAAAGCCAAAGGAAAAGCTCCTTCTAACAGGTAAGGCCACCAAAACATGTTTTGGGGGATTTGCCCCTCTCTTCTGCCTTTCTCGTGATAGTGATTCTATTGCCCAGATTACAAAGGGCTAACAGCAGCTTTAAGCAGTCACATGAAGCAAAGGAAGATGATGTGGGAGCAGGAAGACGTAAGAAACAAAGGAGTTATTTCTCAATTCTTCTGTGTCCTTGTCCCAGGACTTAGAGCTGTCTCAGTTACCCTGACCTCTGAGCAACCGTCTGTGTAATGTTTAAATGATAAAAAGAGAAGGACTGAGAATGAATTTAAGTGTTAGGAGAGAAAAGGATTTCTAGCCCATGCCTGAAATGTCAAGCCTTATCATAATTTATACAACAATAATACCACCACCTAGCAATTACAGCTTTTGGTGACTTCAAAGCGTTCTGCAACTGTGTTTTTCTCAAGGCTACCTTTATGAACTGAAAAACTACTTTAATTGATACTAAATCTGATAGACCAGCAGCTGAAGAGGTAGAACTTGGGGTTTGACGGCAGTTTTTAGAGAGGGAAGATGCAGAGATGGAAAACACTTGGCACATCTTCTATCTTTACAGAGCTCCAAAAGTTAAACTATAGCCCTTCTTTGACGACTTCATGGTATACTAACCCACTTATTTATGTCTTTTTAATTTTGAGGCATTAATAATTGTTCCAGGGAAGTGAATTCTTCTGGAACATGTAGTACTATGCCAGGTCTGCCTAGCAATCTTTTGCAAGGTATGAACATTTGTTCTGAAATAATTACTGTCAGAAGTGTCATTTTGATTATTAATAATTCAGATGCCTATGTAACAGTCACACAAGGTTTAGCCAATTGGTGCTGAATCTTTGTCCGCAGTAGGACATTCTTTAAGACTGTCTAATTTGGATGGCCTTCCATTACCTCTCTCTGTGGTCCCAGAATACAGGGAGCAAATGGTTTAGTGTTTAATGTTTTACAAATACTGGCATATATACAAATAATTGACCCTGTGTTCCTAGTGCTCCACCCTGTACGTTCACTTGGATATATGTAAAGCTGAGAGAGCTCAAAATAACACTGGTGGACATCATGCTGTATGCAAAATGCAGATCAGTACAGTAAGAGAAGACAAAGCACGTCTCAGAACTATAAAAGAGAGTTGTAGTTACCTGGTGTTCACTAAATGTTTGGATCCTATTTGAGAGTATTACCATTCTCTGAGCTTTTTTTTGTTTTATTTTTCCCAGATAAATTCTGCAGAATTCTTTTCACTGATGAGACTGCTGGGGCAACTTGTTTTTGAGACTTACATTGGACTAGAAAAAGTGAATTTGAGACCTATGGGAAATGTCCATGCCTAGACTATGTAAAACACACCCAGATTTGATTTTCCTGATAAGATTGAAATTCAGTGCAGGCTCGGGGAGAGACTGAAGATAAAATATTCACAAGCTTTCCAGGCAAAGTCTGGACAGATGATTTTGCATCAGAACTGTGTGAATTTTTGATGAAAGTTGGCAGGTTTTAGCATAAGTGCTACATATAGTAGGTTTTCACAAGGTGTTTCTTGATGTATAGATGGCATTTGTCCACCTATTCTGAGAAAAATATTTTCTAAAGCCAAACTCCAGACACATGCTGAGCTTTTAACCTGCAAGCAGGTACATTTCAGCCCTGCCTGAGCCTTCGATAAACTGGATGCATCATGAAGCAAATCTTATCTGAGAACTTGACTAGAAGAAAGGGAGTTGTATGGAGTTTTCTTGCAAGATCACAGAGAGGAGAAATGCTACATGAGCCAGGCAGGAATGATAAACCTCTGACAGCTCTGGTACAGATTATTCCCAAGAAAAGGGCTTTTGATCTTTATTTGCCTCATGTTAGATATCTGCTTGTTTGATGTATTTCCTGATATGAATAATCATTCCTACCAGTTATTTTTTTTTAGCAGTGTAACTTCTACCTGTTATTACTAAAGCAAAATTCTGATTTAAGTCAGTTCTGTTAATTTTCAGTTCTTAAATTTTATCTAAAGGATAACATGCCATATGTCCCAAACAGTTTCCAAGAGATAAATATGTTATTAATGTACAGAGTGATTGCAATTGCCGTTTTGAGTTGACATGTTAACAGTAAACTTTTACAATTTCTTAAGTAGAAAGAACCATTTGAAAAATACTTTTAAATCAAGATGTCTTTAAGATATAGAAGTCTTTCTAGAGTCATATTAATTATAAATGATTGCTGGCTGGGATTTTTCTTTTGCAACTGAAATGTAAACTATTCATCGCAGAGATAAAGGAGTTTTTAAGAGGCATATACGGCTCTAGTTCCTTATTATTCTGCCCTGCTCTTTGCCATTGCGAAGAGAATGCACTTTTGTTTCTTTTGCATCTGCAGGATGAAGAAAGTGTAGTTAAATTGAAGTGTGAGAGGACAGAACTAAAACAGGACTTCCTCTGTTGAAAAGCTTGATTGTAACAAGTAGAATATTTAGTAGTAATTGGAACAACTTGGCAAAAGAGCACCAGATAATTGTTTATGTAAATGGCTGTCACATAAACTCATTTGGTTTTGTGTTTTGTTCAAAGCATTGTGTAGAGTTTTGTTTGGTTTTGTTTTTTTCCTTCAGAGTGCATTTGTTGCTTAAGAAAGCAGGGTCAAGTAAAGTTGGTCAGTAGGGTTGCTTTTTAAATTTTCCTGTGCTTTTTAGATTATATAAGGAAGGGCTTTCTTAGGGGAGTGCCAGAGGGACTTCAGATGCTTTGGTCTTCTTTCAGTTCTCCTTAATCCGTGTTGCTGGAGGGAAGGAATGATAAGGTCCAGACCTTATAAATTGGCACATTTTAATATTTACTTTTGCAGCATTTGCCCACAGATGTGAATTTGTGCACCACATATTAATCTTCTCTAAGCATGTTTGGCTTTAATGGACTTGTATTCTGCTTCAATGATTTATCAGTAGATAGGTATCTACAAATATGGAGCTTTTTGAACAATAACATTTCAGACTGCTCACACTTGTGCATAACTAAGTTTGATCATAAACTCACTTGACACCAATGGCATTCATGGTGTTATTCCATGACTCTGCCTGCACAGTTAGTTTGTCTCCTCACTCTTTTGGTTTAACTGTCTGACCATTTGTATAAATAAAGCAAACACCTCATACTGTCGGAAACTCTTAGGTGGCTGAAATGGATTCAAAGTATTGATTCTACTAAGATTATTAAAAAAAGATATCTGTAAATTTAAGCTCTCCAGAATTACTGTTTTGTTTGATTTGATTTTTAAACCTGACAGGTTTAAAGCCAGAATGTAGTTTACTTGAAAGAGGCAGCAGGGGGAAATGTTTGAGGGTCAGAACATTACCTTACTAGTTTGGTAATCAAATACATGATTCCTGAAAAGAAGGTTTTCACACAAAACTCAGCTCTGCCGGTTTATCTTTGCATATCATTTAATTAACTGAGAGAAGATTCAGTTGCCATTTGTGTTTTACTTGGTTTTCATGTGGTACTATCATAGTTGTTATCTGCATTCAGCCATCTGGGCAGTTTCATAAATACGACCATTTAATAAGGTCTGTAGCCTGAAACTTGAGAGTTCATGTTGCTTCTGTTGGAATTTATCCTATTCAATACAATTACAGATGGTATTACTCAAAACACACTTTTGTGATTCCTGTTAAGGTAATTGTTACAGTACGTTCTGCCTCCAAGCTTCACAGATTAAGTGTGTATAGGAAAAAAATTTCATCTACATGGCTTCCACTCATAAGAATAGAAATAATTCTACTTTTGTGATTTCTAGATTGTTCTGTACATCAGATTTCGCAAGAGCTCCACGATTCCTCTTACATAGAGACATTATCAGTATAGTGTATTTATTGTTTTCTCTTTTCTGCATAGCTTAGGTATACTCAGTGTAACACTTCACAAACCATATGCTCAGCATGATACTTCATTATATCAAGTATGACAATATAGACTGTGTAACTGTGTCAGTGTTTATTATTATTTAATGATTTACTATTATTATATAATACTACGATTAAAAGGGGGATTTATAAATATAAGATGCCTGTTGATATTTCTGCTTTATGTAATTCAATGTATTTCTTCCTCTTTAGGCTGTGCTGAGTCCTCTTATAGCAATCGCACTGAAAATATCTCAGATTCATGAGAGGACAGGGCGAAAGGGACCCACTGTCATCACCTGAAGCCACAGAAGAGTGTTAAACCAGGGCCAAAAGAGGAACAGCAAGGAAGAGACAGGACCTTGCTGAAACATGTTAGCCATTTGTGCCTTGTATGATTTTAAAAGTTTTCTTGGGGATAGAGGTAGAGGGGGAAGAAAATTCAATATAACATTGAGCATATTCATTTGCATTGATCTCCAAATACAATAGTGTATTGACTTCTTTGTTTTACCTGCAATATCTTAATTTCAGATAACAATATAACCAAAGAAAGAGGCCTTAACCTTCACTTGTTGTCAGCAATGTGACAGAAAAGGAAAACTGCTTGTTTTTGAATGCTGTGATAAAGGTTGGGGAAATTTCAGTTAGGGAGAGAGAGGGAGGAGTTGCAAAGCAAAGACATGCTTGGTCAATATTGTTTGGGATCCTTGTCACCTTCTTGTTGGTTTACGAAGAGGTATACAGACCATGTCTGAGGCATAAGGGCTGTATACTAAGCTTAGCAAAGGGTGTATTTCCTCACCTGACACCACTCCTCCTCTCCTGTCTCTCCCATTGCTCACAGATGCATGCTGGCAGCAGTGTTGTATACACACTTGCACATGCTCCCAAAGAAGGGGTTATCCCATATTTTTTTTTTTACCCCTGCTTTTAAAGCATATCAATGTGACTTGTGCCTTTAGATTTTCCTGATTTTTTGACTCTTTGTTTTATTTCCTCCAAAGGGAGGCATTTGTGCTACAGAAGCTGATTGTGTCCTTCCAGCAATATGTCGGGTGTGGAATCTGGCTGTTTTTTGCAATATTCCTCATATCAGCAGATGATATTGGTGCTTACTGTGTTTGAAAGGTAATCACTGCAAGTTCAGCAATTTTTCATGAAGGAGTTATTATGGAAGTTTTTTAAGTATTTGGAATACTCATGATCCACTTAGCACAAAGTGGTAAGCAAAGCATGTAGTGAAGAGGAAATGAAAACAAATGCGAATTAATTAAATAGAAATACTTGTCTGATTCACCAGCTGGATGCAGTTTCTGTTAGATTCTTTGTAACAGTGGATGATGGAATAAAAATTTGGGGAGTGCAAAGAGATGTCCCGGCATAGGTCTGAGAAGGATATTGGGGATATGGACATCAGCATTTTTCTGCTTGTGAAATGATACTGCAGTTTTAGCTACAATACTGTGCTCTGAAGAAGAACACAAACACTTTATGCATGTGACTTGTTTGAAAGCTTTGCTTCCTTGGGAACAGTGTGGTCACTTGTATCATTTGTCAAGGTGGCTTGTGCAACTTGCCTCTTTGCAGTGTGTTTCAATTCATTGTGGTTGTCGAATTTTAGTGCAATTTATATAATATTGCAGCAAAGGAAATTGTTTTGATTTCTTTCAACACTTCTGTCAAAAAATTGCTATGGCACTTAGTGCACAATAAAGAATAATGCTGTATTTCTGTCTTAATATGTAATTGTGGACAAGACACACTGCACTTTCAAGCATCCTAATAAAACTGCCTTTAATACAATTACATTATCTACTTAATTGACTCTAAACAAATGAGGTACTAATGTTATCACATAGTATTCTACCTTATCGTTAAGTATTCCCATAAACTAAAAGAGATTTTAAGGCTTTATTTCTTTTTGTAAAGATTTTTTTTGGAGATGACCATGGCATTCTCACAGTTTGGACATCTACTTTTGAATGTAAGAATATTTATCTTGACAGTAACCTTGTTTATCTAATCTTTCATTTTTCTTATAGATCAAGCTCCTCTAGATGCAGGATAGTAAGCTCCTAACTAATGGATCACACATGGTCAAGCATAGACTAGATTATGACACTTAGTTCAAATTACTGGACGGCATGAAAGAGCGTTCTGAAAGGCAGTCGAAGAACATCTAAAATCTCTTACATGTTTTCTGACAATGAAATAACTTTCGATCACATGGTGAACTAGGTAGTAATAGTACCAAGTATCCCATTTGCCAAGCTTCTGGGACTGGGACTTGCACTTTGAAAAGTAAGATGTACTGAAGCCAGGTGTCTTTCAAGATGCAGTGGGAAGACGCATGAGGAACAAATCAGGACTGTGGAGAAGCATACTTGTGCTTTTATCAGAAAGTCACTGGAGCACTAGCTGCAGTAGATGGCAGTCTGTTTTCATGAAGGCAGGTTTCATGAACAAAGGATATATTTTAAAATCTCAGTACTGATTTGTCCTGGCTTCAGAAATAATAGTTGTGCCTCTGTACCGAAATGGAGAAAAGGGCTGTCTGTGTGTGGTTTTGAATAGCTGTCAAACAGCAGGCTTCCAGAACTAGCCTAACCCCAAATCCACTCACCATCCCTTCTTTATGATGACTGGTGATATTGCTAAAATGTAACAGCTGTTATTTTACACCAGTTAATTGCTTTTCTCTGCAAAAAGATGAATAAAACTTTGTAAGGCTAAAGTACACTGTATATCTTTATATCTGATGTGTTTGGGGAAGGACAGTAGCCATAGCGTCATAAAGTGTGCTGCTTTTCATGACGTCTGTTACTTATTAACATGAGAGATGAACGCTTGGAAAAGAGCAACATATATGCACTTATACAAAGATGCAAGGTTTCTAAAAACAGACCATACATCTAGCAGAGGGAAAACTATTACTAATACTGTTTGTCTTATCACAGTGTCTAGGCGCCATGACAGAGACCCAGACCCTTTTGTGGCTATTGTTGGATAAGCAGTTTTATCAAGTTTGGAAATTGCAAGATTCCTGTGTTGTTCAGCTGTGATTGCACTAACATTTACTTGGACAGTAATTCTGTTTCCCAAAACCTCAGATTTTTCTGTACCCAGCAATACAAATGTCTGCTTCCAGCAAGCTGGAGGAAAAGGAGAAAGAGGAATTCCGAGACACCAGTGAGAAAGAGAACAATTTCAAGGTGCATTAGCAGAGGGCTGACCAAGACAAGGCTTGGGTGAGCCCCAGGAACAGAGAAGGAGGCAGCAGGTGACAGAGAGGATTAGGAGAGGACAAATGGCTGGATCAAACTGGAAAGAGAGAGATGTGATAAAAGAATACTAATAGCACACCAATGGATTTGAGAGAGAGAAAGCGAGAAAAAGCAAGTAAAGGTGGGAAAGGAGCATAGTCTAAGAATGATTTAATAATGTTCAATATTAAAGAAAACTGTCTATAATATCTGTTTAATGACAGTGTATTGTAGTAACTGCTCTCATGATCTAAGATAAATTATAGTCTGCACTAGGGGGAAATAAGGGCAAATTTGGCACAGTATGAATTGGTGACTCTGACATAACTTTAACAGTTTACAAAAACACAACAGCTGAGACCAGATTACTGAAAATGGTGGAAGAGTGTAGTGCCAATGTGACTAGAAGCAGCAAATTGTTTGGCGTAGTCTCATTGGGGAGCATGGCTGTGGCTTTTTACCACACAGGCTTCTAGCATCGTCTCTTTAGCATCATGTGGTTTGAGCCAAGTCATAAAATACCAGCAAATTCACTTGCCAGCACAGCTAAATGGTTATTGCATTTTACCTTGGGAGAAGTGCCCTTCTGTAAGAGAGTTAGTGGCAGGATGAGAAGCACATTGTGTTCAGAGGCAATTTGGAAGGCAGCAGTACTCACCTGAACCACGGGATGACAGAATCCTTGAGGTTGGAAGGGACCATCTAGTCCATCAGGACTAGGATCACCTAGTCCATCCCCCAGCTCAGAGCAGGGTCAGGTAGAGGAGGTTGCCTAGGACCATGTCCAGTCTGGTTTTGATTATCTCCAAGGGTGGAGACTTCACAATCTCTCTGGGCAAACTGTTCAAGTGCTTGACCACTCCCATAGCAAAAAACCGCAAACTTTCTTAAGTGTCCAGATGTAATTTCATGTGTTTTGGTTCGGCAGCAGAGCGCCCTAGTGCGGTGCACAGTGGGGCTTCCCAAACCTGAGGAGCCGCAGGGGGAGCCGCGAGCTGCCAGGAGCCTGCAGCTCGAGGCAGGCG